AAACTGGCTGACCACATGCAGAAGATTGAAACAGGACCCCTATCTATCCCCATGCACAAAGGTTAACTCCAAATGGACCTAAATGTAAAACCTCAAACCATAAGAACCTTAGAAAATGAAGGACATACCCTCATGGAAATCGGAACTGGCATCCAATTCCTGAACAAAACCCGAAACCCACAGGTCATAATAGAGAAGATAGACTAGTGGGACCTTATTAAACTGACAAGCTTCTGCAAAGCCAAAGAAACCATCAAGGGAGCAGGGAGACAGTCTACAGACTGGGAAAAAGTACTTGCCAACACCAGGTATGACAAAGGCTTGGATCTACAAGGAACTCAAATGTGCTGAAAAGAAAAAAACAAGCAACCCCATTATAAAATGGGCAAAAGATAGGAACAGACACTTCACAAAGGAAGACATCCAAGCAGTCAACAGACACATGAAGAAATGTTCAACCTCACTAATCATTAGGGAGATGCAAATCAAAACCACACTGAGATACCACATAACCCCAGACAGAATGGCAATTATCAACAACTCAAAAAATAACAGCTGCTGGAGAGGGTGTGGGGAAAAGGGAACACTCCTACACTGTTGGTGGGAGTGTAAACTAGTGCAACCTCTGTGGAAAGCAGTGTGGTGATTCCTAAAAGTTCTAAATATCAACCTCCCATATGACCCCGCAATCCCCCTACTGGGAATATATCCTGAAGAACTCAAATCACTCTATAAAAAAGATACGTGCACACATATGTTTAGCGCAGCATTGTTCACAATAGCAAGAACCTGGAAGCAACCATGCTGCCCATCAAAAAAGGACTGGATTTTAAAAATGTGGTACATATACACGATGGAATACTATGCAGCCATAAAAAAGAGCAAAATCATGAATTTTGCAGCAACCTGGATGGAACTAGAGTCTATAATACTGAGTGACCTCTCACAGAAACAGAGATCCGAGTATCACATGTTCTCACTCATATAATGAACCTTGAACATCCAATGTAATACTATAAGAAAATGACTGACAGTAGTGGGAAACTATGTGGGGGGAGGGAGATGGGATTAACGGTAGCAAATATCTGTCTGGGGACGGGGAAACACCTCTTATCAACAGGGTGCCTGAATGAAACGTATTTGTATACTTAACCCTTAACCGTACCCCACAACATCATAATTAAAAAATTGATTAAATAAATAAATAAATAGATAGATACTCTATGTCTGATTAAATCAAATGGTGTTGTGCTCGTGAAATAATAAAAAATAGGTTATTATTTCATATCAAATGGTTTCAAGAATATATATGGTCTATACAGTTGCCTCTTAAACTCTATGTCTACGAGTATATTCACAGACCATATATTCCAACAAGAGTAAAAAGTTAAATCCTAATTTTAATTTGCAATGTTTTGGAAAAGTATCTCTTCAGAACAAGAACCAAGTAAAATACAGTGTGTGAGAAATTTTCAGAATTTTTCGCAATGGTTTGAGCATGGCACAGTGACAATTTAATTCGCAGCCATTTGCCTCCACATGCGGTCACATATCTTTACATGCCTGAATAGCTGAGCATTTCTACAACACCAGCAGCATTTATCCTGAGTTTAAGCTGCAGGGCCTCTTGCCCAGTCCTCCACTAAGGCCACCCACTGAATGCTTACTACCCCAGATCCACCCGTCTCCATCCCTCCTGCCTAGTTTCCCCCAGGGTTGCCCACTCACTGCTTGCTGCACTGGATCCACCGGTCTCCGTCCCTGCCACAGTTTCCCTTCTCAGTGCCTTCAGTGTTCAGCTTCTCATAGCAGAACTTGTCCGAGCCTGCAGCCTCTTGGGGACGAACAAGAGAACATGTTTCAGTTCCCTTCGCTTTCCACAATGGGTAGAGCGCCGGTGCACTCATAACAGTTGGTTCTCCAGAAAAGGAAAAAGTCTCCTGGGGTGGGGGTGGGGGCATCTGCAAGTATCCATGCGTGCACACTCCACGGCCCACTTCATGCCCTCAGTGTGGTTCCACTGGCTGGTAAAACCCTTGAAAATTCAACCAGCGTCTCTTGCAAACAAAGACAAAAAGCTCCAACACAGCACTGCGTTTAGCCTGAGAAACATATCTCTTTCTAATTTCTGTGGGGGGGTATAAGGTTGGGAATGGGTGACTCCAGCAAGAATGAGTGACACACAGGAAGCAACACTCTTAATCCTACTTTATATTAGTATAGGAAGTTAATTATAAAGTTGTAGCCCCGTGAGATTTTATGTTGGCACCTGACTTTGAATTTTTTTTTTAATCAGGGTCTCATTGTTGCCGAGGCTGGATGGCCATGGCACGAACATGGCTCACTGGGTTCAACTGATTCTTCTGCCTCAGCCTCCAGAGTAGTTGGGACTATAGGCATGTGCCACCACATCCAGCCAACTTTTGTATATTTTTGTAGAGACAAACCTCACTATGTTACTCAGGTTGGTCTCAAATCCCTACTTAAGCAATCCTCCCTCTTTGGCCTCCCAAAGTGCTGGGATTACAGGTGTGAGCCAACATATCCAGCCATGGTTTTAATATTTAAAACTTTTAAAAGACAAATATGCCTCAATTATCTTTTCTCTGTCAAAACTGTGACATGGAATATAAATCTTTCAGATAAATGACAGTTGCCAACTCTGCACTCACCCATGCCAGGACACCATTCAAGTGTGTACCTCTCTTGCTCTGGGGTGACCAGCCTCAGCCAGGGAGGCAGAGCCTTTTCTCGCTGACTCCACCTGGTTGTCATCACAGAGGGCACCATAAACTCAGGATGAGAGAGTGCACTAAGTTCAGGGAATGTTCTGGGAGAGGATGAGCACCTCAGGGAGCACCTACAGCTCCTCATTTGAACAGAGATCAACAAAATGCTAACTCATGTGTGTTGGTGGAGGGTGGAGGGCGGGTGGTTAGATGGGAAATTCAAGGTTCAGGCTGTCATATGATGGTGGAGAGTCCTGCCTGTTGCACCAGTCCCTGAGAGCTGCAGTCACTGAATGGGCAGTGTTGGGCTCTGGTGACAAGCATCCAATGTAAGCAGCTGCTTCCTACAGTTTCTGTGACTAAGATTCATAGCTCTCTTTATCTCCCCCTTCTCTAGATTTGCTTAAGCATCACTCTTAGCTGTGTATCTCTCCCCGTGAGATGGGCAGGGAAGGACGGTGTGGAGAGACAACTGCATGAACGGCAGGTGGAGGTGACCTACTTGTTCCCCAGATGTATTGGCACTGGTTGTCCCGGGTCTTGCACTCGCCATTGTAGCAGCGACCCTGGGGACAAGAGCACATGTCAGGTACACGGAGTCGCACATCCCCAGAGTCTACCCCATGTTCTCCTGCTCACTGATTTAGTGAGGTTCTCCTATTCCATATCTTCATACTTAAATAGTGACTAAAAAGGATTATAAACATCTTATGAGAAGCATAAGGATGACAGTTAAAAATTTAAGGCTCAGAACAGACTTCACTGTACAGCTCTCTAAACCCAAACTCATCATCTAAAATATAAAATTTTACTGAAAATAAAAATGGGTGCATTTCTTTGGGGAAAATCAGACAATTTTTAGCTTCTTTTGTGTGTGAATGGTTAGAAAATGTCAAATCAGCATTTGACGTCACAATCTGCACCCCTAGGTGAAGCCAGGCAATAACAGGGCTTCAGAGAAAACAAACGAACTGCAACAGACTATCATATTTCCCCATAACAGTCAGGCTGAAATTATTGCGGGATGGTCCCAACCCAATAAATGTCTTTTCTCTCAATCCAATGACACCAGAGTTCAATACAACATACTTGTTGATACATCATGAAGCAACTCTGAATTAGAACCCCTCTGCAATAATTTACTTGAGTCAATGTTCCTTCAAAGTTTCATTTATCAAAAAGAACAAAACTTTCCAAAAAATCCCTCTGAAATGACACTAAGAACAGAGAGCCCGCATACCTGATTCTGACTGCACATGTACCCATCCTGCTTGTGAAGGTTTGGTGGACACTGAAAGACAGATGGCATTGGTTAGTGTCCAGCACACAGAACAACTTCAGATAATGTGCACATGATATGACAACGCAAAGATACAAGCACGATGAGGACGCAATTAGGAACATACAGAAAAACGCAAGTAACTTCTCCAGGAGGTCACTCAAACTCATTCTCCTATTACCAGTGAAATAAATAAAGCAGGTGCTTTTTATATGTCTCTCCTATGTGCTGTGAGGTGGACCAGAATAACATCACACTCGTGTGCCTGAGTAGTTAAAAGTAGAAGGACATGAATCAGCTTATCACATGGGGTAGACACGCTCAAGAGCTAGTTTACAGGACTTTGCTCAGCTCTGGGAAATGTCACATCTGCATCTGACATCAAGACATCATCTGCAGCCTGCCTCACTACATGGAAGAAACATCTGCTTTCCAACACAATCACAGACTGTGTCTCCAGACATTTCTGACCTCTCAGACCACAACCTTGTTACTGGAACAGCCTGTGATGTGATGGTTATTTCTTTTCACAGGTCTATTTATCAAATCATTTTTTAAAACGATGTTTCACTTTCCCCAAAAGATGCCCTGAATAAGTTAAAGTTTTTACTCTCTGCATTTGTTTACCACATTGGAGAAATCACTCTACAAAAAAGATACCTGCACATGCATGTTTATTGCAGCATTATTCACAATAGCAAAACCATGGAACCAACCATGCTGCCCACTGAAAGTGGACTGCATTTTAAAAATGTGGTACATATACACAATGGAATATTACACAGCCAAAAAGAAGGACCAAATTATGAACTTCACAGCAACTTGGATGGCTTTAGAGTCTATAATACACAGTGATCTATCACAAAAACAAAGAACTGAGTATCCCATGTTCTAACTCATAAGCAGACCCTGAATAATTATCATAATACTGTTAGAAAGGAATTGGCAGTAAGTAGTGAGAAACTGCCGGTGGAGGGCACACTTCATCAATAAGGGTACCTGTGATGCTGGGGTGGCCGTCAGAGTACGTGCCACTGCACTCCAGCTTGGGTGATGGAGTGAGACTCCAACTCAAAAAAAAAAGGGCGTACCTGATCTCAAACCAGGTGACGTGGGGACCAAAGTGAGGCCCAAATTTTACCTGCACAATGACAATTTATATACCTGCCCCTGAATTGTACCCCACAAAAAAGACTAAAATAGGTCAAGCAAGCATGAAAAGGACCCTGTCGTGGCCAGTGAGTAAGAAACATAGCCATATGCACAGAGGCCTCCCTCATCCTCCAATTCTCAGTAAATGATGCCCTGTCCTTCCAACTGTTTAGGACAAAGACTGTGGTCACCCTCTCTCCCTCTCACCTCCCTCCATCCAGTCTCCAATATGCCCTGGCCCTGCCCGAAGATTGCGTTCACCCTCTCTCCCTCTTACCCTTCCTTCATCTAATCTTCAATATGCCCAGAGACTACAGTCACCCAAACACTTTCCCTCCGCCCTTTCTCCCTCTCTCTCTCTCTCTCTCTCTGCCTTCAGAATATTATCCCAATCTGACTACTTTTCCTCACCTCCCCACTTGTACCCTGTCCATGCTGTCACCATCCTCACCTGGATTGCTGCCCCAGCCTCCACCCAGGTGCCCAGTTTCCAGCCTAGTCACCCTGGGGTCTATACCACTACCAGAGTGACCCCATGAAAAAATGTATGCATCAGTACACAGCCATGGACCAAGCTGGAGACCATCATCCTAAGTGAACTAACCAGAAGCAGAAACCACACACCACCTGTTCTCACTTATATGTGAGAGCTAAGAGGCCACAAACATGGAGACAGCAAATACTGGGGACACTATAAAAGGGAAAGCAGGAAGGAGGGCTAGGATTCAGAAGTTAACTACTGGGCACAATGTTCACTATCTGGGGAATGGGTCACCTAGAGCCCAGTCCCCACCCCTGAGCAATAAGCCCATAGTAACAAACATGCACTTGTGCCCCTGAATCTAAACTTTAAAGAAAGAAAGCACAGAAGACAATGTGAATAAAATAATTAAATGAAACATGAACATCAGTATTGGGTCTCATTCATCTCTGCCCAGAACCCTCGTGTGGTCTCCCAGCCTCCTCACTGACCTGCCTCTGCCCACCCCACCCGCCATCCCTCTGCCTCACTTATGCTAGCCCAGCCTGTGATGCCATGGATGTGCCAGCACACTGTCCCCACGGCCTCCACCCCTGCTCTTCCATCTCCTGGATTTCTGCAGGGCTCCCTCTCACCCCCTTGGTAGGGCTTTGCTCCAATAGCATTGCCAAGGATGCTCTGGTATCCAGGCTCTCAAAGCTGCAGGCCTCCGCCGGCAGCCTCTACTCCCTGCTCTATGCTTTTCTCTCCTCTTGCCAGCAACCGACAGTTCACAGTCTCCTTACTTGTTTATTGTGCTGTTCCGTCATAACGTGAGCCCCTTACAGGCAGTATCTTGTATCTGCTCCCTCCTGCCCCCAGGACCTAGAGCAATGTGGGGCATGTGCGGGTGTGCAGTGATTCTGGCTGACTGAGAAAACAAACCAACAACCCACACAGATACAGAGAGGTTCTTTATGCCACACATGTCAAGCCATGTGTCAAATTCACAAAAGAAGGAAAAAAGAACTCGATCAGCATTCCTATGAAGCAGGAACTTCCTAACACTTTGAGGTGCAATGCTTTGGTTCTACATCTTTTTTTTAAATTCTGAGTCAAGGGTCTCACTCTGTTGCCCAGGCTGGAGCACAGTGGCAACATCACGGCTCACCACAGCCTTAACCTCCTGGGCTCAAGCAATCCCTCCACTTCAGCCTCCCGAGCAGCTGGGACTACAGGCACATGCCACCATGTCCGGCTAATTATTTTTATTTTTGTTTTGTAGAGACAAGGTCTCCCTGTGTTGCCTACTCTAGTCTTGAACTCCTGAGCTCAAGCGATTCTCCCACCTTGGCCTCCCAAAGTGCTGGGATTACAGGTGTGAGCTACCCCAACTGGCCAGTACTACATTTTTTCTACAGATTACTGACTTTCACGCAAGTGTCATTCACCACAGCTCTTCATTCAACCTGAAGGTGAGTCTTCAAGGGACCAGTGCTAAAACCCGTAGTTTCAGTGTACACTACTGGGCTGAGTGCACAGAAGCAGAAATCTCCATGGCCTCTATCATCCATCCGGATCCACTCAAAACTCAATCATCATCTCACTAACCAAGTGTCACTAATTACTCACCCACTCCAAAATGAACGCAACAATAGTCAACAGAAGTGCCAAAGGGATGTTGCTACTAGAATAGGCACATCAGGATCTAAAATTAATTCATCAGATTTCATTTTTGTGATGTTTCAAGAGGAAAAAGACATGCAGAATTCTTTACTAATTGAAAAAAAAAAAAGCCCTAATTCTGAACCAGCAAAACCACATTAGAACCACTGATTCTAATCAATCAGTTTTGGAGTTAGGCTCATCATTGGAATATTTAACAAGGGAACTTACAGAATGCCTCATGTTCTCCAGGATGTTTAAAACAGGAGAACCATAACTCTGTGTCCTTTACTCTGCCTGTGAGGAGAGCTATGGGTTCAGTCTCTCGATGTCCTTCTAGAACCTTCCTGTACAGGATATACTGTATAGGGGGTTCACTGGAGGCCAGCAGGCTTCCATGGTGTAACAGCATTTAGATGTGTTTCCTTTAAGCTGCTATACCCAAAAAATAAATAAATAAATAGATAAAAATTGTCACACCACCATTTAGATGATGTAGCTCACAACAGTAGCAAAACACACTTTCCGATATCTTTCAAATATCTACATGATATTATCTAGTACCGCTAGCAAAGGTTTCTCTCAGAAGCACAAGTATTGTTTATTCTATTGCAAATTGTAAATTCAAAGCATATCTCAGAGGCATCAGTAAATGCTGATATCAAAATTAAACAAAAACATAGCATGAGGTAAGAGAGGTAAAAATCATAAGGTTGCCTGTAGATGCTGATTCTCAGAATGCAAAAGTTCATCTTCTTAATCATTACTAGTATTAATTAAAATCAAAATTCACCATCTCTTACAGAATGAAAGAATAATGTGAGGAGGCGGAATTTTAGCTTCCTCTACTCCAATGATCTGTTTCAGGTTCATTCTGATCGTGCTAGAAAATTATTAACAAGTGTGTGGCAAATCCTCACATGTACCCTACAACTCTAAAATTAAAATTTAAAAACAACAGCAAAAAAAATTATTAACAAGAACATTCTATTATAATATGCCACTGTGAAATTAATTTAACAGTATAATTTTTACCTTAGACATGATTTAAAAAGAAGAAAATGTTTTACGTACACAATAGAACATCGGATTGAACAACAAGCTCTCATTTTTAAAATCGTTATTTCCAGCAACTTCTATGGCAATTCAGGAGTTGAAGATTGAAAATTTTTTTAAAAACTATATTTTTAAAGGGGCTGAATACATAGAACTAGAACCATACATGGTGAATACAAAAATAGTCATATTCTACAAAGCTAAAAATATAACTCAGTGAAAAAGTACATTAGAACTATCAGTATACTTATCATTAAACTCAGAACCCACAACTCTTACACACGGTCGTTACATTATAAAAACGGCAAAGAAAGCTGTTTACAGGTTTAAATAAGAAACAAATATGCATAAAGATTGTTTTTAAATGGCCTAAATGTGCTTCACTGTACCCTATTTTTAAGAGGGTCCACTTGAATTGAGTCTCAACAACATATGTTGAGACCCTTAGAAAGGTGAGTGAGGAACTGTCCCCCTCCCCACCCCTCACCGTCTCCTTCCAGTCAAGGGAACCCGGGTAAATCCAGCCCCTGTTACTCCCTTGACACACCATGGAGGTGAGTGACTGCTGGCTGAGAAGCAGGGAAGGAGGGGCTCCATCATCCTCCTAGCAGCAAGCTCCTCAAGCACCCTGGGTTCCTGCAGCCCCCTGCACGGCACATTCAGGAGCCTGCCTCCACAGGAACAGGTCATCCTGACACTATTCTGTCAGTGATCTGTTACTGCGACCTGAACCAGGCTCCACAGGGAACTGTTTGACCCTCATGTCAGGTTGTGGCCTTCAACTTGGCTGTTTGCAGTAATAGAGGTGGGAGGTGGTATTTTGACCAGAAAGTGTACCCCATTTATTGGAAGCCCTTTGGAAAACAATACCTGGCAACAGGTAACCCCACTCCTGAGAACCTACCCTAAGACGTTAACCCTGAACAAGAAACACTCCATTAAAAATGCACTCCTGTGAGGTACAGTGACTCACATCTATAAACCCAGCACTTTGGGAGGCTGAGGCAAGAGGTTTGCTTGAGCCTCAGGGTTTGAGACCAGCCTAAGCAACTTGGCAAGACCTTGTCTCTACAAAAATTGTTTTTTAAAAAATTAGCCGGGTGTGCTGATGCATGCCTGTAGTTCCAGCTACTTGGAAGGCTGAGGTAGAAGGATTGCCTGAGACCAGTAGGTCGAGGCTGCAGTAGCCCATGAGCGTGCCTCTGCACTCCAGCCTAGGTGACAGAGTGAGACTCCTACTCAAAAAAAAAAAAAAGTAAAAGTAATGAGCCCGGTGCAGTGGCTCATGCCAATAACTCAGCACTTTGGGTGGCCAAGGCAGGAGGGTTGCTTGAATCCAGGAGTTTGATGTTAGGCAGTAGAGCAAGACCTCATCTCTAAAAATAAAATAAACAAATACATAAAAACGCACAAAGATGTTCGTGTCCATACTGTAATAGCTATAATAGTTTAAAAAAAAAAATCTGCCAAAATCTAATCTGCCAAAACCTAATCTAAATATCCACACTATATATAGCTCAATTGACAAATTCATGAGGGAGACGCTCATGAAATCATGAGAAGAATATTTACAGAAACTGTCAGCATATGGGAAAGTGCTTTGAAGTAATATCAGAATGAAAATGAAGGTAGGATAAAACCCAAAATTCTCCCCGTGGTCTGCGAGTCCCCATCTACCCTGATCTGACTCCTTTTTGTATGGTTTCCTGTTCCCCAGTTGGCCTCACCACTGTTCCATCTCACAAGGCCAAGGTCCTGTCTCACTGTGCATTCACCCTTTCCTTCTAGATGTCCAGGAAGACATCTCAGTCACCCATCGCACACACCTGCCCTTCACTTCCTAACATCTCCTCATTTTATGCTCAAAGCAGGCCCCCATCTGACATTTCTGTTCATTGACTTGTCTTTCTACCCCCAGCACGAGATGGGTGTGCCTCATTCCTGACCCCACCACAACATAGGCAGCAGTGCTTGGAGGCGCTCAAAAAATACATAAATGGCAAATAAAGACCTAACATATTATGCCTTTAAAAAAAAACACGAAAGCTATATAAAGAAGGAATTCTAGAAGGCAACACTGGTTATAGGTAAAAATCTTAATAGGAAGAAAATCATGCCAGAGCACACAGGCTGTGAAGCCAGGGCTCTGGGTATGGGGCAGAAGGAACAGCAGAGAGAGGGGAAGGGGGGCTTCTGCTCCGAGCCTGCTTCAAACAAGATAGGGCAGCTCGTTCTTTGCTTTCTACATTGAGCCTCCATCCAAAATGTGGTAGAAGAAATAGTTTTGTGGATTTAAAATGCTTAAAAATAGTACGTTAGTGCTTCATCAGTAGGAAGGAACTGCTAGAGATGTGGGGGCCAGAAAAGAAAAATCAGTTAGCTGAGTACAAATCACAGAAGCAGAACTAATTATAAAGAAGACATTTGAACATAAGAAATTTCAGTTTAAAAAAAAAAAACAACCCACACCACACTTTCCTAAAATAAAGGTATGGTGAAGACCTAGAAATAACAAGAAAACAAAGCAATGGGAACCAAAGCATATTCACACAAGTACTCTATATTGAGAGTTTTAAAAGGTGTACAGGTTGTGCCAGGTTGAATGGGCATTCCTAATCCAAAAATCTAAAATCCAAAATGCTCCAAAATCCAACAGTTTCTGAGTGTCAACGTGACAACAGTGATGTTGTTAAACTGCAGAAGGGCCTACAGATGACCTGGGAAAATGTGTGATGGAATTGAAGGACGAGAGCAGTGAACATGCAAGCAGAACAAGAAACCAGGTCTGCTTAGGAAACCAAGGGGAGACACCTAAGATAAACGCCCTGTTCATGAAGCAGATGGCTCTGGAGGAAGCACTGCTAAAAGCCACCCCTCAAAGTGGCCCCTCATTCCTAGGGGACCCACCCTTGGCCCCTTAACTGCTTCTGATGTTTCTTCTCACCTAAAAAAATAAAATACAGTGTCCAGTAACCTTTTCAAAGGCCCAAATTCCAGCATGGTAGGTAGAGACTGACCCCTGCCTCTGCCTGCTGCTGTGTTTAACATCTGGGGCAAGTGTTCTGGTGGCACCACTGTGCTGCCAGGAACCCTGAACACCATGTATCTTCATTGTGTTCATGGTGTGTCATGTTTTTACTGGTAAGTACTTATGCATGAACAAGTGTCAGAAAAGGATTGCTGACTGGGAGCATATAAATCCAGATTTAGAAATGATGTCCACATGATAGCCAAGACCTCGAAGCCACTGCTTTCTGATATACAGACTTTGTTTAACACAAAAAATTTTTAAAAGTCTGTCGATATCTGTCTGGGGACCAGGGGGCACACCTCATCAACAAAGGTACCTGGCACAATGCATATTTGTATACCTAACCCTTAACTGTACCCAACAATTTTAAAATTAAAAGTATGCTTAAAAAAAAAAAAGAAATTACTTTCAGGCTATGTGTATAAGGCGTATATAAAACACAAATGAATTCTGGGCTTAGAGTTGGGTCCCATCCCATTATAAACCTCATTATAAATATGCAAATAATCCAAAATCCGAAATACTTCTGGTCCCAGTCATCTTGGATAAGAGAAACTCAGCCTGCATTTATAAGTAAAAATGTATTACCTACAACTCAGTACGCCTTACCTGGCCAGAATCTCCAGTACAATATTCAGTAATATCGCACCCGTTCACAGCATCCCGACATTCATACCCTCGTGGTTGAAACTGCAAGTCAAAAGTCAATATTAGGAGTCGATATTAACTAATATTTCAGAGTTAGGATGCTTATATTCACCAACAATTCTTATAATGTCTCATAACCATCACCAAACTCTTACAAATTAGCAAGACTGCTGCAGAATAGAAAGAAGGTTCAGACTCTACCCTCTGAACTCAAGATGAACTATCATCCAAGGCATTAAGTGTTCAGATTTCAAACGCACTGTGTCAGAGAATTATTTCACGAAAACAATGTAATGGAGAATGTGGAAAGATGAAACTCTGGTTTGGCTTAAGACAAAAATAACAAAACACTGTGACATAAACATTTAAGATCTTGCTGAAGAATCGAAATATACACCCAACCTTCACTAATTTACCTATTAGCTTGGATATTAATCTTGCCTTAGCTAAATGTACACAATGCAACTTTAATGAATTCATGTGGTCTACCTTCAGGAATACCAGTGAATGCCTACTGTATACAAGGCATTTTGCTTGTCTGGGGAGGGGAGGGGTTAAAGAGGAAGGAAAGAGCTCATTACCCTCAAGCAATTTATGAAGCAAGTAGAAACAAAACTAGAAGCCTTTAGAACATCATAATGCAGAATACCCATTGGTTCTGGAAAAATAATAAAACGATGCAATTTGATGGTTTTAAGGACGATTGGAGGTTGTTACATATATGAGGACAAGAAAGATCAAAATGGCTTTTCAAAAATAATTGGAGGTCACTATAGATAGAAGACTGTCCACACACAGAAACTGTTTCTATACACACATAAAAGTGCATTCACATGTCACTTCCCTATCTGCCTCTCCTGCCTTTATAGGAGATTTTAAAAGCCCAATGGGAAAATGTGAGCCCTAGCTTTTACATTCAGGTCTAAAACAAATTAGGGTAAGTTTTCAAGAAAAATGTCTTAAGTAGGTCACATTACTAAAAAGACCAAAGGAATTGCCCTCTTCTATTAAAATTCCAACAATTTAATTGGGTTTTATCTGTGTCAGTGGGCAATTCTCAGTGTTTATTTTGGAAGCAGTCTAAGGTCTATTTTCTTATGCAGTCATGGGGGACAGGGTGGCTGAGAGTAAACACAGTGAAGGTAAATGTTGTAACCCACAGGATTTTCTGCATATCTATATTTATTGATTCTGCATAACATGGGCTAACACACGTCCTGTAATCAACACTTTTGTGAAAGGCTGTACAAATACCAAATATACAAACTAAGATATTTGGCTAATCTGTCAACTGAAAGAAAGAAGAAACCACAGGGAACTCACGAGACATGAAGTGCTATTGCAGCATGGCCCATCACTGCAGTGTGCCCCATTGGAGAGGGAGCACTTCTTACAGCAAAATCCGTAGCATTCCTAGAGAACACACATCATATGAGCAAGCCAAGGGCCTTACCCCACCACACAACATTCCCTCCACATGTGACATGCATAATGCAAATGAGGAGATTTGCACAATGTTGGAAAGTACAAGAAGTCCCAACATCAAATTTGTCTTAAGTACAACAAAGTTAGTCTAGGTACCCAACTAACACAATTGGCTATACAGTACTGTTTGTGTTTAACAGGTTACACTGAAACCTGGTGGAAAGAAATAGTAATACATTTAAAAATGCAGGTGTGCATCATTTAAGTTTGTAACTTGAAGGTTTGTATGTAGGGGATTCACTGTATTGTAGGAGTCAATCACCTTAAATGATGACAGAATCTCTCTTGACCTACTTCTCAGCAAAGCATGATCCTACCTGAAAGGGCTTCTCTATCAGAAGGAAAGTTTAATTATTAGCCAGTCCCCTACCCCACATTAACTCTATGACATTCTTAACTAACACCCAATCTAGTTTTATAAAGACAAAAATAAAACATGAAAATGAGCTATAGATTTTAAGAGGTATGAAACTTGATGAGAAGAATCCATTAGGTTTTCTAAGACAATGCCACTATGATAACCAATTTGAACACATCTGAGCTGGGATTAAGCACTGATCAGAGAGATCAGCTGAAAGGCCGTCTGAGCACCATGAAAGATGGTGCTGGCCTCTGTTGGGGCCATTCTTGTCTGTCTGGGTAAGATCTGCTGCAGGTAGAGAACATGCCTGACACCTACCACGTGGAAGCCACAGTCACATTCCTCCCCAGCTTCTACATATCCATTTCCACATTCTGTGGGCTCAAACAGCTGAAAGAGATTAGGAAAAGAAAAAAATTTCAGTTCAATCACAGAAAATCAGCACACCAGCCAGACTACATACATGGCCTCATAATCATCCATCATGTGATATACTTCTGTCATCTGTAGTTACAGCACCTCATAAATGATGTCTGTGTGGGAAATACTGTACACTTATTAATAACACTCTTAAAGAACATATCTGAAATGAATTCCATTCATAATAGCCACAAAAATAATGAAATACCTTGACATCCACCTAGCAAGAGAAGTGAAAGATCTTTACAACAACTACAAAACACTGCTCAAAGAAATCAGGGATGACACAAACAAATGGAAAAACATTCTGTGCACATTGGTTGGAAGAATCAATATTGTCAAGACGTTCATCCTACCTAAGGTAATCTACAGAATCAATGCAATACCCATCAAATTACCAACATCATCTTTCTCAGACCTGAAAACAATAATACAGAAATTCATATGGAAACAAAAAAGACCAAGAATAGTCAAAACCATCCTCAGCAAAAGGAACAAAGTAGGAGATACCATACTTTCAGACTTTAAACTTTACTACAAGGCTACGGTAACCAAAATAGCCTGGTACTGGTACCATATTGACTAACAGATTAAGACAAAAATTCTGGAAGCAAAACCTCAATCTCTCAACCAACTCATCTTCAACAAAGCCACCAATAACTACCATTGGGGAAAAGAGACTATATTTAGTAAATGGTGCTGGGAAAACTGGCTCATCACATGCAGAAGAATGAAACTGGACTCCTACCTATCATATACAAAAATCAACTCTAAACGAATCAAAGACCTAAACATAAAACCTCAAACTATAAGAAAATGGCTAACTGGACCTCATTTCCCCTGGTTTAGGACTAGGTACCCTTTGTGTTGCTACGTACCCCACCCCATCCCCTGGTCGTGCCCAGCAACTGCCAATCCTTCCTTGTGCTAATGTGACTAGTATTCAGGAGCAATGTGGGAAACACACTTATGCACATCAGAGTAGGCAACAAATTCTTGATCAAATCCCCAAAAGCGAATATCATAAAAGCTAAAATAGATAAGTGGGACCTCATCAAATTGAGGAGCTTTTGCACAGCAAAAGAAAACATCAAGAGAGTGGAGAGACAACCCCAGTTGTTGAATAGGAAAAAACATTTGCTAACTACAGATCTGACAATGGCCTAACTTCTAGGATCTACAAAGAAATCAAATGAGCTGATAGGAAAAAAACAAACAACCCTATTAAAAAGTGGGCAAAGGACATGAATAGACATTTTTCAAAAGAAGAGATACAAGCAGATAACAGATACATGAAAAGATGCTTACAGAAATGCAAATCAAAACCATAGTGAGACACTACTCTGGTAAAGATGGTCGATAAGAATAGCCATCATTAATAAATCAAGAAAACAACAGATGTTGGTACAGGTGTAGAGAAAAGGGACTGCTTTTAAACTGTTGGTAGGAGTGTAAGCTAGCTCAACATCTATGGAGAGCAGTGTAGCAATTCCTTTAAAAATGAAAAATTGACGTTACATACAATCCAGCAATTCTCCTGGAAATACACCCAGAGTAACATAAATCGTTCTACAAAAAAGACACCTAGCCGGGCTCGGTGGCTCAGCCTGTAATCCCATGCCTTTGGGAGGCTGAGGTGAGGGGACTGCCTGAGCCCACAGGTTCGAGACCCACCTGGGCAACTTGGTGAGACCTCATCTCTACAATAAATCAAAAATTAGCCGGGTGTGGTAGCACATGCCTGTAGTTCCAGCTACTTGGAAGGCTGAGGCGGAAGGATCGCTGGAGCCCAGCAGGTTGAGGCTGAGGTGGCCAGGAGCGGCCACTGCACTCCAGTCTGTGCGACAGAGTGAGACTCCAACTCAAAAAAAAAAAAAAAAAAAGACACCTGCACACACGTGTTCATAGCAGTACTATTCACAATAGCAAAAACATGGAACCAATCCCACTGCCCATTGAAATAGACTGGATAAAGATAATGTGGTACATGTACACGATGGAGTATTATGCAGTCATAAAGAAGAACAAAATCACAAACTGAATGGAGTTGGAGACCATCAAACTTAATGATCTATCACAGAAACAAAGAACTGAACACTGCATCATCTCATTCATAAGTGGCCCCTGAATACTAGTCACATTAGCACAAGGGAGGGATCGGCAGTCACTGGGCACTGCTGGTGGGGGCGGGGAGGCACGTAACAACACAAAGGGGACCTAGTCCTAAACCAGAAGTGAGGGCCAGGTGGAGGCCCAAACAAGTTAGTCTACTTGTGTAGTCAATGCTTACTTGTACCCCACATCTCTGTAATAAAATAAATAAATAAATAAGTAAATAGGAACACATCTGAAATGGGATAATATCTCTGGGGGGCTTCTCTGGCGGTGGACTCTAGGGACAACCTCTAGCATTAGAGTTACTCTTCATGGAGGTAACCTGTCAAGAGGAATAGATGACTTTTCATATTTGCTAATGGAATTAAAATACATTGCTAGTAAGACTCACAGATACCTAATTTGCTGACGTGTCTCAGACAGCTGAGAAGTCATAAGAATTGTCAAAAAGACCAATATTTTTCTGTCACAACTAAATGTAATATATACAATCAAGTAAGTACAATAAACTTAAAATGTTGCTAGAAACCCAAGACCATTATTCTCATTGAAACAAAATCTGTACTGTCTGAAGCATTAGACATGTGCTTGGATATACAGAAATCATTTCTTGAGCAATGAAAGAGTCAGATTTCTACAATAATCCACTCTCCTGGGATCATGAATGTGCTTGTCAGATAAACTACATGACGAAGCAGTTGCTGAGGCCATTGACTGGTGACGAGAAATGTGCCCATTTCCCATCACCTGTGAGGGTATGGGGAGGACATCTCTGGGTAGGAGCACCATATCTAAACAAAGACTGGAACAGCACATACCAATCCAAGTGCTCAGAGCCCCGGATGTGAGACAGTGAAACAGACTCCCCCCTCCTGCAGCCAAACACACCCAAGGAAGGGCAGCCATCTGCTCAGTCCACCTGAGAAAAACCTAACCCTCCTTCTACTTCCAGGACGGTGAAACTGGGTCAGAAGCAAGGGAGGTTTCCAGGCTGCTCGGATGGGCCTCCCTGCAGAGATGTCAGAGGCAGGAGTCACCAGTCCCACTCGCCTCGAACTGTGATCCACAGGCAGGGAAGATGGGACAGAGAAAAGCTGACTAAGGCACTGCCAGCACTGGACATCAGGCCTGCCCTCCCTTCATTCCACCCTGAAGTGTGTTCCAGTCTTTAGTTGGGCAGAAATGCAACTGTGGGGAAGACACTTGAGTACAGCAAAGATACAAGTGGGTCAGGTGAATGTGTCATACAGCATGTGCACGTACACATATCCACTGACCAGAAACACTCGGGAAAGTTGGTTCTTTGACACATACATGTAAACTATTCCACTGGAATCCATGGTTCTTTTTTTTTTAACTACTGTAATATGTAGTTTAAAAAGATAATAATTCAGTTCTCACTAATTTTTTAAAATTGAAGATATGTGTTATTTCTATTTAGTTTCTATTCAGTTACTGGAATACTGTTCTTCTGACATTGCAGAGACCACAGTGAACCTCTGCACATGCTAGAAACCACGCTTTTCCCAATAAGCCAGAGTTGGTTCCTCAGGCCTGAGACTCATCACCAATTGGTGAGCAAGGTGTGTAAAACTAATCACTACATTGCAAATCACAATGCCAGCAGCTCACACTAGTTCATTACTGTATTTATTTCACCTACCCTGAACACTTCTTTGTTTGTTTTGAATCAAGGTCCCATTCTGTCACCCAGGCTTACCACCAGGTCAGTGGCACAATCCCAGCTCACTACAGCCTCAACTTTCTGTGCTCAGGCCATCCTCGGACTACAGGTACATGCCTCTATGCCCAGCTACTTTTGATTTTTTTTGTAGAGATAAGTTCTCACTATATTACCCAGGCTGGTCTCAAACTCCTGATCTCAAATGATTCTCCTGCTTCAGTCTCTCAAGGTACTGGTACTACAGGTTTGAGTCACTGTGCCCAAACCACTCTCAATACTTCGAAACTTTCAGATTTCTGCAACACTGAGACCAATGCCATGAAAGGCTGGCAGGCGACTTTTGTGAAGTATGGTCAATTAAAAGTCCTGTTTCTTTTCCCACAGTCTTGTCAAGATTTTACATGGATTTTACTCAGGTCCCAAACTACCATTCCCTGGTGACAGCATAGTTGCTCAATTATGGGTATAGGAATAAATTACTCTGTCAGCTACCACATTAGGTACTGATGATTTTTTAAAAGATCAACATTATTTCATTGCTCTCTTAGTTTGCAGAATATTAAGCATTCTGCATAGCAATGAACTATGTTGACTTATGAAGCCGTATTTTAAAAGGAAATATGAAATCTGCCCTGTTAGAATTTCTATGCCATCTGCTCACTGGCATCGATCCTGTCTTACTTGCCTGGTGAGCAACTGCATTTCCAAACAAGTCATTTCAGGTCTGCAGGCCTCATTCAAAAGCTCTATAGCCAATGGGGTGGAGAATTCTGGCTTTGCTGAATTTTAGAAAAGTATGATGCATTTATCATGTTCTATGTAATAATCCTGAGGGGCGTAGGACACATCCCATAATCAAATGCATTAATATTTCTGCAGTGAGGCTTACAAAGATTTATACTATGAGATATAAATAAATAAAGATTTTCAGTTTAGGACAGGTTTTACTGTCAAATGTGTTTTCTGCAAATGCATAAAAAATACTTCTAGAAATACTCAGAATTCTTTCAATTACAGATTTATGAATTAGAGATTGTGACACTGTAATATAAATTTTGGTGAAATGTCAACTGACAACTTGGACCTCTCTAGGAAAAACACATATACATATTTTAGCATCCATAGATACCTTGGGCCACTTAATACCTCATGTTCTTACTCACAAGTGGGAGCTGAACATTAATCACATTAGCACAGGAGGGAATGACAGTCAATGGGCATGCCAGGAGAGGAAGGAGGGAGCATGTAACAACACAAAGGGTACCTGGTCCTATACCAGGGAAAATGAGGGTAATTTGGAGGCCCAAACTTCACCTGCCTGCAGTCTACTTGTGTAGTTAATTCTTACTTGTATCCCACATCTCTGTAATAAAATAAAATTTAATTTAAAAAAGAAAAAAAAACCTTGGGCCATTTTGTGGCTGGCTGGTATTAGTAATGCCTCCTGCCTGGGAAAGCAGACCACTCAAAACAAACAAACAAACAAAAAAACTCAAAAAATGAGTTACTTAGGCCCCTAGAAAGAATGCCAGGGAGAAATGGAATTTTTTAATCAGAAAAATGGGTTAAAGTGATATTATATTTTAATCTAACCCATCATCTCTTAGCAGCAGGGTGAAAACCCAAACATGAAATGTTCAAAGATATTTTCACTGAAAGACTGTTTACCTTTGTTGAGGGAGGGCTTCGGGGTTGTAGCTAGCACTAAAAACCGGAGACTCAGAACACTGGGTCTATGGCTTTACCATTCATTTAAACAGACTCAGTCATCAAGATAAGGCCTTTTATAATTGAATATTCATCTAACTGACAAGAAACCTGCTTTCCAGCCAAGCACTCACTGCTCAGCTGCTCCACTTGGCGCTGGAGAAATGGCTCCTCACCTTGGTTGGCCTATTAAAGAGGCAGGCTCCGCCCCCTCTCTGTAGAAAGTCTCTGTACTCCAAAATGCTGCACTTTGAGAATTTTCGGGAATGGGATACCCTAAGAAAACAAAGAATCAATTATGTAAGTAATTCACCAAAAGAATCACCAGAGAAGAAAATTAAAACCCTTGGGTTAGGGCAGCATGTTGACTCCAGCCCAAAATGAATTGACACAAATTTTGGCAAGGCACTTATGTTCAAATTGCCAAGTAAGTGGCGGGAGCACTGCAAAAGAGAGAAACTCAACATCCAGGATCAGGAGGCGAGGTTGCCGCTGCTCAGCAGCCAAGCCTTCTGCAACCTGTCTGGAAACTGTTTTTGAAAAGCTCATGACGAAACTTCTTCCCTGGGCTGTAATTTTTTAAAAGTATATTGATTTTTGTTTACTTTGTCTTAGGAAAGGCAAGCACTCTTAGCCTCTGTCCTGAATAGAAGGAGTCCACAAACCTCCTAGATGTTTATATGGAAGGAGAGAGCCATGAGAGGCAGTTTAATGAAGACTGTATGATACAGGCTTCAACAATGTAATTGAGGTGAGCCCTGAAGAGATGTGTCACAACATACATGTATATGTACTCATGTTTTTAGTGTGTGTATACACACAGTAAAAACATAATTCAATGAGCTCTCATGAATAATAGATCTTTATTCTTAAAATACTACTCAGTGATATTCATGATCTAGCAAGAATACAGAAGGAGCCTCTCTGTGACTTATTTAATCAAATTAATACCTCATCAGAACACAGGGGAGCATTATACATGTGGTCCAGGCTATGCTGAATCTCAAATATCTGTTCTCAGGGAGTTTTGTGACAGTGCTCAATTTGAATGGGCCACTTATCCTGGGAAGTCATCCAATCATCTGATGTATTCTGGTACATGAGGGTAGTTTATGGAAGCAGGTAAAAACTGCCACAGTGAGCTTTTGCCAGAGCTATACAGAAATGCATACTTCAGAAAATACATATTCACTTTAAATTTTTTTTTTTTTTTTTTTGAGTTGGAGTCTCACTCTGTCGCCCAGACTGGAGTGCAGTGGCCGCTCCCAGCCACCGCAGCCTCAACCTGCTGGGCTCCGGCGGTCCTTCCGCCTCAGCCTTCCAAGTAGCCGGAACTACACTTTAAATACTTTTATTATATCCTATAATCAGTCCAAAAACTCAGTTAGAAATTGGGAGTTCAGAAGATAGAAGTCTCCCTAAAGAGCCACTGTAAGAATGGTGCTGCCTTCTAAACTCTGGAACAATAATAGAAGAGACCTATGGAAGCTGAGTTTCTGTTTAAACTACATTTCTAGAAACATGCTCTATAGTAGCAGGGTCACAGTGGGCCATGCAAATCCCCATGCTCACACTCTTCCTGGGAGCTGGGCTCCCACAGGGGCTGGGGGGGATAAGGAGAGGCTCTGGACAAGTAGGTCAGGGCCTCCGGCAACCAGCATCAGCGGGTTGGAACAGGAAAAAAATGGCCAGGGCACTGGGCATGGTCGGCACAGGCACAGTAGAGGCATGTAGGTGAGGAAACCTCTGTGTCTACTGGGAGTGGGCCATGGGGAGCAGGACACAGCTGGGGAGCCTGGGCAGCAGCTTCACAGACAGCATCCCTGGGAGAGGGCAATGTTTCCACTCCATGTTTCACTGAAGCAATAGCAGCTCTAGGGCAGTTGTTCCAGGTCCCAGAGCACTTGCAGAAGAAGAAGGAGGAATGATCAAGAGCCCACCACTGGAAAACTGCCCAACTCAGACACAACATGTCGTCTTGAGCCTTAAAAAGTTGTATGGATTATATAAGCAGCATGGTATGATTTTATTACCATAAACACACGTTTATGAGTTCCTCCAGGTGTCAACTGATGTCAAAGTTGGTTTTCATTGACTGCTTCAGGTAGACAACCAGCTTTTATTCTAAGTGTACTAAAAAATTAACACCTCTACTAAACTTAGAAGCATCTAATAATATGCTTCCTTTAATGGTTAATAAGAAGTGGAAGTCGTTAATACATTTTACCTTTTTTTTTTTTTTGAGTCAGAGTCTCACTCTGTTGCCCAGACTGGAATGCAGTGGCCACAGCAGCCTTGACCTGCTGGGCTCAGGCAATCCTTTCGCCTCAACCTTACAAGTAACTGGAACTACAGGTGTGCACTACCACACTCAGCTAATTTTTTTGTTTACTGTAGAGACAAGATCTCACCAAGTTGTCCAGGTTAGTCTCGAACCCCTGAGCTCAGGCAATCCTCTCACCTCAGCCTCCCAAAGTGCTGGGATTACAGGCTTGAGCCACTGCACCCAGCCTTACATTTTACTTTTATCGCCAAGCTTAAATAAAGAAGTAAAATAGGAAGCAAATGAGCCCTTTCAGTTTAAAAATATCAGACAACTAATTACTGGATTTATACTGTGCTTAGCCTAAATGACCAGTGCCCAAGAGCCTGTGTGCCTAAGCCACCATGGCTTTAGCAGAAGCTAAATGGGTAGTGACACGTACCCCGTCTCCTCCATGATGCATCCTCCCCAGGACTCCGTGCAGTCACACTCTAGTCCATGAGACGACACCGGCAATAGAAAACAACAGAGGTCACATCTTTAGCTTGGCTGCAGCTCCTACGGCAATCATTACCAATTCCATGTCACATAGACAGAGAATGTGAAGTCTCATGGAACAAAATATATTCCTTTTTTAATCAATATTTCCCTATCCTTTCCAGGAGTAGCAGTTACTGCCTAAGAAAACAGCTGGCAATAAAGGAAGTTGGCATCTTCTCACTGCTGGAACTTCCACAACTCAGCTAGGTTTCTAATTCCAGTGTTTAGGAAAAGGCCCTGGTCCAGAAACTGAAAAGCCTGAGCCCAAGTTCTACCAAGAAGAGAGTCCCACAGGCAAGTGACTCAGCATTTCTTAGGTCTCAGTGTTTCCACTTCTAAAATGAGAATGATGTCTGTCTATCTCCCAGAGTGGCTCTGGATTCATAGGAGGTGGGGTGGCCACATGCTCTCTGGGAACTATAGAGCTCTTGGCACAAATGCCACCAATCACCATGACAGAGCATAATCTAACAGAGAGCACTGGAAGTTAAGAAGAGGATACCATTTGCCAGAGTCCATGTGAGCACAGGCCAGGGACCTGAAGACACTGCCAGCTGTGGCAAAAGAGAGCAAGGTAAAACAAAAGTGGACATCGTCACCTGAACAGCAATCCTAAACTCCAGTCAGGCGCCAGAAACTGACATGGTGATTCTGTGACGGGTTCTTCTCTTTTCAGTTTCTGGACCAGGGGCTTTCCTATTCTCTTTTCTATCATAAAGATTTTTTTTTAAGGGTCAAAATGTGTCTTTTTAAACTTAAAGTTTAGAACCAGTGAAACAGCTACCCGAACAAACAAGTCACCAAGGAATAAAGAGCCTCAGGAAGGACGGAGCAATGGCAGACACCAGGAATGGGTCTACCTCTCCCCACGCCACCTTAGAGCCCAGTGGTACCCTGGCTGAGCCCAGCACTGGCCCCTTCCAGCACTAGGGCTTCCAAACAAGAGCATAATCCAGTCATGCTACTTCCTTTCTGATGTTAAGGCATCTGGGACAGCTGACACAACTCTTAGCCCTCCTCCTATGTGCACTGGATGCTTCTCTGGGAAAGCAGACACTCTGAGCAGGATAATAGGTGAATATTTATGGGGACTTGCCAAAATCCACCAGACACTTATGATGATGTCATTCAGTGACTTAATCTACCCATGAAGAGAATCCAGATGCCTGAAAATTTATCTTTTGTCTCCATTTTCCATAAATATTATCCATTAATGCCCATAAAGCTATAAGATGTAGGATGACATTAAGGTAGATTTTGTCCTTCTCTTTTCTGGGGAGAGGGTGCTGGGAAGGGTGATTCCTGCTCCCAGAGTCCGTACTTCCACAGAGGGAGGGACTTCTGCTTGCTTTCCAGTTACATGAACACTACAAGTGAACACTGGTCTCTTTCCACAGGATCATGTGATGATGACTGTAAGGAACTGGGTACTTTTGCCATCTGCCACGAAAATTATATCTTACTACTATTTGGTAGAAAGAGAAACATAATCCAGGTTGGATTTTACTCTGATTTCAAAATAAATTAAACATTTTCACAGACCCCTGAAATTACCGTGGGCCCTAGACACTTTTCCCACCAGTCAGCTCCATCTGCCTCTCTTCTAATTAAAGAAAAAGCAACATCTCACGTCATTGGCCGAGGTTTTTACAGGGTGGGATCCATGGCCCTGCTTGTTCCCTGAGATCTTAAGCCTGCCAGGCCAATCAAGGAGAATCCTATTCCCCACCACCTGCCCCCATACTTAATGAGCTCTGGGCAGAGTCTTCCTGTGGGGAGCTTTCCTCTCCAACTGTTCCAGTCGAACCAGGTGGGACGTTTTAGGAGATTTACAGATCAGCTCTTTTCTGACTCCAGATCTAAGCTAGTTCCCAACCCAGCTGCAGTGTCACTAAACGTGTGCTGGAGCCTCACCCAACAGCTTGTGTATACACTCAACTATTTGAAGCCAGAGGGTGAATAACCAACCCTAACCTAACACTCTGCAGTGTGAGAAAAGTGCTGACACGTGGCCTGAGAAACGAGTTGTGATTTCATGGATGTTGAAAGGGAAATTCCCACAACCCAAACAGATTAAGAATCACCTCAAGATGCTCGTTTTGTAACTGCTTTAGAGGAAGGAGAGATACTACAATTAAACTATAATGACTTGAATGAGATTACTTCTCTACTGACTGGACATGCATTACACAGACAAAATGGCACAAGAAAGGGAGTAAGAAGTCAGTGTACTCACTTGGCTTTCTGCTAGAAGGTTCCCACTGGATTCCAAGGTTTTGGGCCAGGCTCTGCGATAATACTTGTGCCACTGCCATTGGAGGACCATACTGTTTTTCAGAGTTGAAAGTGTGTGGGAAACATTTGAAAGAGTGTATAAAGCTAGTTATTATTTCTTAATTGTTATCGCAATCACCTCAGCTCCCTAACTAGCCTCACAGCATCTAAAGAGGCGTCTGCCCTGACCACTTCCTCCCAGCAATGGGCCAAGAGGCAGAAAGTCCCTCTCATCATATGGCCACTCTCAGAACTTGAAGCTCCACATGGAACACAATGCAAGTCATAGAGTGCTGTATGAGTTCATCTGTACAAAGCCAAGGATACACTCAGCTTATGACAATACATCGAGAGAGGTTCCACTGAATGACCGCCAACTGAGGTGACCTGGTATGTTCCAGTACTGACCATGGTTTGGACATTACTGGCTAGGCTTTCCAGCTGCTACTGCCAGTTAAGAATTTCCTTTATAAAATGAAGGTATTAAAATGCAAACAATGCGACTAAAGAAATATTTATTTGAATTCATTCTACAGATAGGTAGGTAAAAGGCATAAAGATGAAAAAATATATACACACAGGGAGAAAAAAAGTATACAGTTCTGATATCAAAAGTCCTTTGATTTAAATGAGTTAAACTTAACACAGGCAGGGGAACATTAGCCAAAAAAAAAAGTTACAAGTGAAAGATAAGCTTACAGAAACTTAACATCTTATCTATAGTGGCCTAAAAATCTCAGAGCCAATCTCTGGCTTGCATTTGCCTGATAAGTATGAAAATTATGATACCAAAAGATATCATTATGAACCCAAAAGACCACAATGGACTGTATTTATTAACAACAGAAGCCACTCATGATGTACTCTCCATGTCATCCTTCTGAACGAGCATGAGAAGGGGCATGACCTGGTAGCAGGAAAGAAGAAGGACAGATGCAAAGATAAAGCTCTACTCTAAGAAAATTCATACAACTTACCTCATTCACACCAACTCCTCTTGTACGAGAACAGACGCCTCCGAAGTAGCTCAGGCTGCTTCTCTTATAGTGAAATGTCACACGCCTTGAGGAAAAGAAGTGCTATCAGAAAGCCAACGTGGTGACCGTCACATAAACTCTCCCAAACACATGAATTCTCCCACACAGAACACCCAGACCACCCTCCCACAAAAAATCAAAATCTGTATTTCAAATTCCTTTAACTGTATGTTATGCTAAATAACTGCCATTGTGCAAAACCAACTGAGTCCTACTAAGCACTGCGTACCAGCACAGGAACTGGAAACCCAAAAAAATAAAACAGGCTGCAGCCTGTTTCTAGCAGAGAACATCTAGTATACAAAATATCGCCGATCATTATAAATCACTGATTAAAGACCAAGAAGCAAGAGTGAAGGGTGGGGTGGCAGGAGGGGAAGGAGTGCCCTGGTTGGTTGATCCCAGGACAGAACCCTGGAGGACTATCCGAAAACAGCTTCACCGAGAATGGGGGAGAGACCAGCTATATGAGAATAGAAGGACAGAGCCTTTCTTAATTCTTCCTTAGACAGAAACTCAGTTCTATTCCAGGATCCACCTAATAAGATTGCATCTCCTGGCTTCTCTTGCAGGTAGGTGCGACCATGTGATCAAAATCTGGCAAAAGTGACATGTGCAAGCTTTCCAAGAGCCTTGGCTGGAGAGAGTACCCTGCAGCACTTCTCCATGCCTGTCCTTCCTGCTGCCTACAATGAGGGCTGGAGTGCCAGCAGCCATCCTGGGTCATACAGAAGCACCAGCTGCCCCCAGCACCAGGGACCCTACCTTATACTTCTTACATAACAGGCAGGGGCACCTACAGCAATCTTGCTCATGTCATTTTATGATATTTAGCCTAACTGAAGTGATCAAGGGATAAAAACAAATGTCAAGCCAAAGACACAGCAAAAGTCTAAGGGGTCCATACGAGATGAGGTGCACAGCATCAGCATGCTGCCGGATCCGCTGCCGGTACTTGGAGAACTCATGCAACATCTGCACAGGGTTAATGGTGATGTCGATGTGATCCTTCTCTGTCCAGGTCTCCACGGCCACCAGCACAACCCTGGTGTTGAGCTGCTCCTTGTAAATCTGAGGGCACACAACAGGACAGGTGCAGGAGGAAACACTGGGTCAGGCATGCACAATCAGTGAGTCAGTCAGTGGACAGGAGGGGAGGTGAAAGGAGAACATGGGGGCACGGTTAGCTCATCTCAGAGAAGCTTCTCTCCCTTCCTTTTTTCCAAGAGCAAAAATAAAGAACACAGTTTTGCACAGTTTGGTCTCAGGTCACCAACTCTCCCTGATTGCTTCAATCCCAATCAACACATGGAGTGGCCTGGCCCCTCACTCAGAGATGGATGGCACAGACATCAGTGACATTGCCGTTGGCTAAGTTGGGGTGGGGGGCAGTAGGCTACAGCTCTAAGCAAGGGCAGTATAACCATCTAGTCCTGCAGGACTGGAGTGGACCCTAAACCTTCAGACAAGCACCAAGCAATATGGCTGGCTGGTCCTGGAGGCCACGTTATATGAAACGTAAAGTAACACCAGGAGATCTGAAGCTGAAGGAGTGGATATATATCACCCACTCACCCCACTGCAGGGTGGCATCACTCCTGACATTTCAACTATTACCTTCCTGCTCCCTTTCTCAGTTTTTGGCCTAGTAGGTAAATAGCAATTCATACAACTAAGCACTTTCAATAAATTCTGTCATTCTGTACTATTTTCAAACTAATCAAGAGAGCAGTGGATGATCTCCGAACACCCTGAAGAAGGGGAACATCATTACACCTAAATCAAACTGAAGCTATCATGACTTCACCACCAAAACAAGTTGAAGGCAAAGTGTTTTTAAAACTAGAGGTCGGCTTCAGAACATTCAATGGTACTAACCTCAAAATAAAAAGTGCACTTTACACAATGTGATTCTACTCAATCATTTTGAAACAACTAACTTGGAGATGCTACCAAGTAAACAGTTTTTGCAGGGAAAAAGATGTGTTTAAGGTTCTCTTTTCGATATTCACTTATAGTTTTCCTCTGAGAAGACTGACAAGAGCCAAAGTTAAAGAAAATTAATAAACGAAGTGTAAGCTAGGTCTCAGAGTCCCATCCTAACTCTCTGTGACACACTCTCTGCACATCCACGTGTAGGATACTTTGCTCAACCACACATGCCAGGCATATGTCATATCTTGTAAGTCTTTACATGATTGGAGGTTTCTGGACTGCTTAAAAGGTAGAAAAGAAGGGAGTTCTTCGAAGTAAATAAATATCTTTAGATGTTTGGCAATTTATAAATAGTTGTTTTTCTCCCACATTTAAGAGGAAACATACAATAGATACCAGAGAAATATATATATTTAGCTGAACAAAACAGCACTGCAAAATACAGTATATAAGTAGCATGCTGTATTTAATTCTGACTCGTCAAACTGGATTATTTATTAGAATATAATGCATGGAGTTCCTACCTAAGGCAAAAAAAAAAAAAAAAAGGAAAGAAATCTTAACCATTCTCTGTAACTTACAAAATGAAGAGGAAAACGTATCAGTGTTAAAGTTCTGTAGAGTTAGAAGTCTGTGTAAAGAGATATATATTTTATTGTTTCAAATTAATTTTGAGACCTAACTTAATTATGTCATCAAGAAATAAAGTGGGAACATTCTACTAATGGGAACACTAAGAAAATGCATTTGTGTCCTTTTTAACATTTTTGTTTGGTATTACTTGTATTCTTCAAACATACTCTGCCTCAATCTACTAGTTCTTGTCTGCTCACACCTTATATTTAAGAAAAGTTCAGTTGGTGATTAGCAAAGTTTCAGTTGCCAAGTGTAATTTACTCTCTTCTGGTAACTAATTTCCTCCATGGACCCTTGAGACAAGCAGGTATAGACAGCACCTAGAATCAATGCTCACATGCCTTTGGGATTCTGAGAACACCTGGCGGTCCTCTGAAACATATTGTGAAGCAGAATTTCATGTGGTCAGGTGAGCATTTTTACTTTTGCCCAATAAACAACTAAAATAACAAGCAAGCAAATTGAGATAGAGATGTAAGCCACTCCATCTTGGAGAAAATAAGTTCAAGAAAGCCAGGGTACTCACAGAGTCCACGAGGTTGACCACGGACTTGGCGAAGTTATTGGTATGTGCGTGAGAGGAACGGTGCTTCTTATACTGGGGAGAAAGACACACCAGTCACCACCTGATTATAAACTCGTGGTAAATCTCAAAACTCTATAAAGGCAGAAATCTCACAGTAATAGTATAAATGAGGATTAAAAATACAGATTTTAGTCTGGGCCCTATTGGATATGGTGGTGTCCTTAGTTCATTTATTTGCTAGGCAGCAAAACTCTTGACTGTCTAAAACACCCAAGATGTTCTGGAGGATGGAAAGGGCTCTGGAGTCTATCTGAGAAGTTCTACACCAGAGAAGTTAGTCTTTAATTCAGTCTCATTGTCTACAAATTTAATCCTTTTGTTTTCACTGAAGTGACATTTTGCAGCTAATACAAAAGGCTTAGACAAACAAAGTAGTCCCAACTGGACACTTTTTCCGCTTTAAACTCAAGGCCATGCACAGATCAAGGAGTTTACTTAGGCAGCTCTGTCAACATTGCCTATGATATGAAAAATATTTGCATTTAGTGTGTCCCTTAAGAGGAACGCCTTCCCTAAACACTCAAAGTCAGAACAGACAAAAAGTAAAAATGCAGTGTACTGAGCATTTATGACTATTTAAGACTATGAAGAAAAGTAACTTAATAGAACAATTCTATAATGACATCAGAGGGCTACGTTTTTTAGCAAGCCATACTGATCGTTTTACGTTGTTCAGGATGTCTTTAACAGGGACAACTGCAAACAGACGCCAATTACAGGGACATCACGCCCTCTACTGTCCATGAGATGTCATTATTTTCACAGCTCTCAGGAAAAAGACAAAGGACTACAGTAGAGTAGCGCACCACTATGTGCACCACTAGTCTTTGAAATTTGTCTTCAATTGTAACTATTATAGTAATGCATCTTTCATGAAGATTAAAGACATTTCTACATTAGAAAGTCACAATTTTCTTCTCCTTTGCCCAACTGCACCCATAAATCTGTCAGACTCCCTTTATGTCATCCTTTCTACCTCTGTGACTGAGTTTTTTAAACAAAGAACAGACATCTCAGTGCTTACATTTCTGACATTTGTTTTTAATAGTAGTGAGAGCACTTATGATCCATGATAAGTACGTAATAAACTGGTTAACAGATTAATACTGCGCTAACAGCAGCACTCACTAACTCATAACTATAGGCATAACATGACTGTCCCTGCGTATGCCGTCACTACCACTGCATGTCATCATCTAACCCAACTGTCTTTACGTGTTCTGTTTAAGTAACATGTATTTCTTCTTTTGTAACAGGGTCACAAAACATTGCACTAGTCTAAAATTTTTCAGGCAGTTTAACAGGTTTTGTGAACTTAGCATAAAGAAGCTTCTATAAATAGCTCAGTGTTTTAAGTTGCCTAGCAAATTCCATGAGCTGAAAATCTTCAAAGATACCAGTAAGAGTAAAAGCACCATTTCTTCATATATATGTTTATTCATATAATCTGTTTCTTCAATTGACTTTCATAATCTGTGTCTATCAAGACTTTCATAATTTGTGCCTATTGTCATATTTCATGAAAATAGATATGCAGTTGACATGGAAAAGTTTTGAATAATAATAGAAAATAGAGACTTTTCAGCCCAATTAATAACTCAAAATTTAAAAGTAAAAACAAAGGCCTCGACATTAAGTTCCTTTGAAATGTTGAAAATATTTTGGGGCTAGATAGAGGTAATGGTTGTACTGCAATGTGAAGGTACTAAACCACTGACTTAAAAAGCTACAAAATTTAAAAAGAAAAGGAAATAGCTGATGCCTATTCTGATGCAGTGGTATGGCACACCTATCAAGATGAATTTGAGGCCAGGCTCAGTGACTCAGTCTGTAATCCCAGAACTTTGGGAGGCCAAGGTAAGTGGATTGCCTGAGTCTGCAGGTTTGAGACCAGCCCGGGCAACTTGGCAAGACTTCATCTCTACAATAAAACAAAAATTAGCCAGTTGTGGTAGCGCATGCCTGCAGTTTCAGCTACTTGGAAGGCTGAGGTGGAATGATCACCGGAGCCCAGCAGGTCGACACTGGGGTGGCAGTGAGCATGTCACTACTCCAGCCTGGTCAATGGAGTGAGACTCTAAAACAAAAAAAAAAGATGAATTTGATTCTGCTTCTGAATATTAATTTGCCCTTTATGAAAACCCTTTTTATAGTATAATGATCATAGAAAACCTGATATTCAAGTTTTAAAAATTAATAAAATGAGGTTTTCTTAAATTCTACCAAAGTGTAATGCTTCTCATTTATTTCATATTTGTAAGGTTCAAGCCTCTGATGTTCTTTCCAGAAAGGTGATTCTGCCTGCTGTGTGGTGAGTGACTGAGAGAGGGTCAAGAATGAAAGCAGAAACAGCTATGGGGAAGCTACTGCAACAGTCCAGGGAAGAGGGCATGGAGGCTAGAGACATGGAGAGAAGCGAGTGGGTTCAAGAAGCACATGAAAGGGCAAGATGATGGCAGAATCCATCAGAGTGTGAGAGTATCTGCATGGGTGAGGGTGCATAAAGAATAATCAGCAATCATCTGTGTATGCAAGTAAGAGAGTAAATGTCCAACTGAGGGAGACACAGCATCAAGTGCCCCAGGGCCCCCTGCAGAGGCAGCCGCGATTTGCCATGCTCTGAACTCAGCACCCACCACACACAGAAGGATCCTCCATTCCCTGGGCACCTCTTGAGAAAAGACAGATCAGCAGCCTCTCGACACCTGGCACCTGGTTCACACCACCACCCGCAGCAATGGCCAGGCACTGACAGCAGGGACCACTGAGATGTGGGGAGGAGATATGAAGCTGAGCCCCACTGGAGGATAAGATACCAGTGGATGCCATTTTGACACCATTTTCTCTGTCCAGCAGGGACCTTCTCTAGCTCCCCCAATTCTGGGCAGCCTGCATTCAGCAATCTCTGCACCTCTCTGGGATCACCACTGTTTGCCCAAAGAGGATACTGCAATGCACCACACCGGAGAGACAGAAGCTCCAACACCCACACTGGATCAAGCACAAACATGTGTAGTCAGAGTGGGAGACCTAGCAGCAGCCGAGTTGGGGTGAGCTCTGGAGTTGCTCCTCTTCCCCCAGCAGTCCATGGAGCATCTGACCCATGTGCAGAGCAACCCAACTAGCCTGTGGGCTAAGAGCAGAGAGTAGGGGAGCCCACTCCCTACCACCACCAAAAGCAGCAACACATGGACAGGCTGGTTAAAAAAAAAAAGGAAAGAAATCTGATGTTACAGAAATGGTCACGAGAAGGAGATTTTTTTTTTGAGGGGGAGTGCATCTTTGATATTTTTCTGTTGCTGTTTGTTTGTTTTTGCTTTGTTGTTTTCTTTAACCATTTATCTGTTCATTTGTGTGCCTATTTTCTTTCTTCTTCTTTTTCTTCATCTTCCTTTTGTCTCTCTTCTTCCATTCTTTTCATTTTTCTTATCTCATTTTGGTTTCGGGGGGCATAAATACACCCCCCACCTCATGGACAGTTTGTACGGTGGTGAGAAGTGGGTTCCAGGGGGCCCACACACCAGTCAGTGGATCCTGTGATCTGCAAATAGCTTCTGAACCATACCCCTATCACATCTTTTTTTTTTTTTTTTTTTT